TATAGAAAATTATCTTATGGGTCAGGGATTTGATCTTGAACAGAACCAGTTTAAAGAAAGTTCCCATGGGGAGCTTTCAAGATTCCTGAAATACAACACATGTCTGAGAAATTAGAAAGTCCACAACAAGTTTGTGTTACACAGATTATAACTGGGTTTGTGAGTGATTGGTGTTCACAGCTACTAAGCAGCTTTGCTCAAAGATCCATCCCCAATGCCACCCCTCTGAGTCTGCCTCCTGCCCCCATTCCTCTGGCTGCTCAGACATCTTCACTTCTGAGTTCGCACTACACAGCTCTGGCCTTCCCCAGTCGTGAGCTGCCAAGACCAGAGTGTGTGGCTGACACACTTGAATACATATGTGAAAGAAACTCAACTTCTGCTTTTGGGGAACTTACTGACAGTTGCTTTATTTCCTTCTCTTCTATTAAGCAATTCTATTTGCACAGAAGAATAGAGTCAACAAGTGGTGTTTTTTTGTGTTTTTTTTTACCAAGTCATAAAAACAATGATAATAAACTAAACTCTGCCAGACTTTTACATAACCTACTCTGTGCTCACTGGGTACATTTGGCAATGTGTCGTGAGCCCTTTTAGAGGAGAAATAATAAAGAACTTAAATGTTTAAAAACTGTCTTTACAAAGAAATAGAAGCATGGCTTAATTGTGATCTGAACTGACAAGAAATACTTCCTGTTTCAAGCAAAAACACTATGGACCACTGGGCACTTTTACATCGAAACACCAGGGTAATGTTAAATACTCCTGTTTATTTTCTTCCTCTTTTGCCAGATGCTCAATTTCAAGAATTAGTCTAGTGCCAATAAATCCTACTGAAGCATAGTAAAAAAAAAAAAACAAAAAACCAAACAAACAAACAAAAAACCTTTCTTTTACATGAAGACTCAACATATGAATACATCCCCTTTGACCTACCCATTCTCAAGGCTTCATTCATGACTGTCTCCATCCACCGAGCAGCATGGCTCTATCTCACTATAACCTCGACCATCCCCCCTTATTGTGTAGTTGGATTAACTAGGACAAGAAGAAGTGACTTGCCCAAGATCCAAGTGCAGGTGTCAGTACCAGAACTGGAGAACTCAGATCTGACTCCAGGCTAGTGCTCTTTTGCCCAAAATTACATGAGTTTTTAACAAAAGGTGAAATGATTTCCCTGCTTTTCAGCTCCCAGCAGCACCAGATTCCCTGACTTCTCCCATGCCCTTCATGTTCCTGCTGTAACATGCATTTGCGTACAGTGTCCTTCCTGTGTCATCTGGTTGAGTGCTGCCTCCCTTCAACACAGGGCTGAGATCCGAAATATTTCACAACTGGTGTGGCCTGGGCACTGTCCAATTGGAAGACCGCTGGCTTACTGCTGGGTCAAGGCTCCCTGCCCCACGCGACAGGCCCACTTAGCTGCAGGTGCGTAAGTAGGTTAGAGGGGTCCCAGGGAAGCCCTGCTTAGAGGCAACTTCTGGACGAAAACTTGTGACTTGTCCAGTCTTCTGTAACTTGTGTACCCTGTATACAGTACTTCTGATTCATTATTCACTCAACAAATATTAAGTACCTACAATGTGCAGACCCTTAAGGGAAGAACAAAGCCAACTGGACATGCCCTTATGCCCACCTTATTTCCTGGGAGAATAGATAAGAAATGTGCATCAACAGCTATAATAGAAGCCAGATAGTTGTTGTTTGTCTTCGAAGATAGGTCCAACAAAGTGGGTATGGCAGTTACAAGGCAAAAAAATAAAGGGGGGGATCCCTTCTGGTTGTGGATTATAGAGGGCTTCCTGGGGGGTTCGTGCAGCTGTGGCTCTTGAAGCGTGGGGAGGACTTGGTGAGGAGGAGCTTTAAGGGAGGAGCAGTCCAGGCACGCACAGGTAGGAAATGGGAATGGTGAGTGGGTGACCCCAGCAGCCCTGCGGGTCTGGACTGAAGGCGCCCGAGGCCACTGATGGCGCATGCGCGGCGTCAGCACTGAGTGGGGGTGGCAGACAGGTAAGGCAGGGGTCGGTAAACACCGACCTTGAGTCCCCACCAGTGCTCCCTGGGGTTCGGGACGTGCTTTCTCGGAGCCCTCTCACTTCTAGGACTGGCAGGCGCCCTTCTCCCCGGTTCTGGCCGTGCTGGAGAACAAGCAGGCATTTGCCAAGCGGTGTAAGGGATTACAGGCCTTTTCTGGGCTCTCAGGGGCCAGGGAAGAATTGACGATTGAATTCTGCCCGGAATCGCTGCCTGGGAACAGCAGGCATTTTCTCAGGCTGCTTGGAGGCTGCCCAGTGCGGAGTCTGGCTCTAGTCCAGCCTGGATCCCGAGCCAGGAGGGAGTGCATGGCAGTGGGCCGTGGGTGTTCCCAAGTTCCTAGCACTGACCCAGTTGAGAGGTGGGAGGAGGAGTGGGTTGGTCAGTGGCAGATGTCAAAAAGGGGTAAGTAAAGAACACCAGGGCAGAGTCATTTGAGAAGAACCAGCGATTGTCAGACTGCTGTAGGCAAAATTGGGAAAGAGATAAAAGGATGCTTTTACCTTCTCCTGTGGTATGTAAGGGCCCCTCACAGTTTTAGTTCAATGAGGGAAACTAGCAACGGGCTAATTGGAAAGACTACAGGCTCTGGAGTTCCACTGGCCTGGTCCACATCTCTTTCTTGTCAAGTACAAAGTACATCCTATTTACCTAGAAATGATGCACTGGCAGGGAGGGGTCGTGGATTCAAAATAAAGTCTAGGAAAAGGGAAGTTAGTGAGTAATAATTTGTCAGTTTTTCTCAACCTCAGCGCAAGAAAGATGGTGCTCTGTTCTCCATGACTGGTAGAATCTTAAACAGAAATATTTGGGCAGCAAATGCAGGCAGGATAACTCGCTACCCTGTCTGAGTGCCATATTCCCTGATAACAGCCAACTGCCTCTGTTCTTTTTCTATCCTCACCAATCTGCCTTGTAATCTGTAATACCGTTTCCTGAGTGGACTTGCTTTAGAGCATCCTGTATACACAAACAGCCCCAAGTTTTCAAACAAAGCCTTTCTCCTATTACATTGTTTTTCAGATTAGACTCTTAAATCATGTTTTCAGAGGTCCATAAATTCTTTAGAAGAATTTTTAAACTTTGTCTTTTCATTTTAAAGATAATATAAAAATTTTAACACAAGCATCACCTGGATCACCACCTTTTTACAGAGTACTACCACATAATATGGATGCCCAGACCAGATGTGGATTTCTGACTGTTTTGGTCTAGTGATCACCTAAAGTCTTCTAATGGAAGTTTGAATGCAATGTTTATCAAACAGGGATATATTCAAGAGTATATAGGTTCTCAAGTGTGAGAAACACTCCCTATTATAAATAATCTGACAAACAGATTTACACATCAGTCTCTTACAAGTTTGGCTATGATGAATTGATCCTTTTCTACCTAATCACCTTGAGCAAAGGGCCCAGTAGTTATTGGATCAGATCTGTAGTATCTGTACAAATATTTTACCAGTCAGTGAAGCAGCCAGCTAGCCAGTCTCCTCTTAAAAGGCTCTACTCTCTCCATGTGACAGATAGATTGTAATTATTCAGATAGATTAATCTTAGATTTGAAATAGAAGACTTTTCTGATTCTGGGTCAGTCCCATAATCTCTACCCTAAACTCTGTAGACTACAGGCAATATAAACTACTAACTGTCACATGGGGGTGTTATGCTAATAATTTCAGGCTTTCTGCCATGCTGAGTTGGTCTGGCCTTGCTCCTGGCACAGTGCTCTAAGGAGTTTGTAATTTGCCAAGAGTCCAATTCAATGAGATGAGAGAGACATGAGAAAGAATGTTTGAGGAAAATTGTCCCTGAGGTCTGTAGTCTAGCTCTGGTGGAACTGACAAATTTCTTTAAATGGTGCTGGAACAACTGGATACTTACACACACAAAAAATAAATCACACACATAGACCTCACACTCCCCAAAATTAACTCAATATAGATCATAGACCTAAATGTAAAATGCAAAACTGTTAAACTCCTAGAAGATAACGTAGGAGAAACTTCTGTGAAAGGCACTGTCAAAAGAATGAGAAGACAAGCTACAGGCTGGGAGAAAATATCTCAAAAGACACATCTGAAAAAGGACTGTTATCCAAAATATAAAAAGAATTATTAAAAATTCAACAAGGAAAAAGCAAACAACCCTATAGTACCAGCATCTTGGTACCTATTTAAATGGCCAAAATCCAGAGCACTGAAAATACCAGGTCCTAGCAAGGATGTGGAGCAATAGGAACCTCACTCATTGCTTGTGGAAATGCAAAATGGTTCAGCCACTTTGGAAGACAGTTTGGTTGTTTCTTACAAAACTAAACATATTTTTACCATATGACCCAGCGACTAGTATCTTAGTATCTGCCCAAAGAGTTGAAAACTCGTGTCCACACAAATACCTCTGCATAGATATTTATATAGCAGCCTTATTCATAATTGCCCAAACTTGGAAGCAACCAAGGTATCCTTCAGCAGGTAAAGGACATCTTAAATGGATAAATAAACTATGGTACATTTAGACAATGGGATATTATTCAGCACCAAAAAGAAATGAGCTCTCCAGACATGGAGGAACCTTAAATGCATATTAATAAGTGAAAGAAGCAAATCTGAGGAGGCTACATCTGTCTGATTTCAACTATTTGACATTCTGGGAAGGACAAAAGTGTGGAGAGAGTAAAAATATCAGTGGTTGCCAGAGGTTGGGGAGAAGAAGGGATGATCTTTAGGGCAGTGAAACTACTCTGTAAGATGCTGCCGTGTGATGATATAAATAGTATGCGTAATTATACTTGCCCAAAGCGCCAGAATGTACAACACCAAGAGTGAACCCTAATGTGAACTAGGGACTGCGGGTGATATGATGTGTCGACGTAGGTTCACCAGTCGTAACAAAGGTGCCACTCTGGTGGGGGACAGTGACACGGGGAGGCTATGCATGTGTGGGACGGGATACATGCAAAATCTCTGTATCTTCCTCTTAATTTCGCTGTGAACCTAAAACTGCTCTAAAAAAGTTAAGTCTTTTTAAAAGTTTCTTTAGGCCAACAGTGCATCTGAGAGCCTCTTCAGAGTCTGGGTCGGCGCAGCAGCAAGCACGCTTTGGACGCAAGTACTAGGAGACATCCAGGGAAGGCACCGGCTCACGGAACTCAAGGTGCAGCGGCAGCTCGGGCTTCAGGTGTCGGTGCAGTGGCACAGCACTGCCCCAGGACCGTGGGGCACTTCCTGCCACTCTGCCCTGCCAAACGCAGCACTGGCTCCAACCAACGCTGGAAGTGCTCCCAAGATGCGGAGAAAAGGCATGACATGACAAGAAAAAGTCGAATTACTTGATAGGTACCATAGACTGAGGTCTGCAGCTGCGTTGCCCACCATACAGATGACTGATCTTGTAAACAGATGATATAAACTTATATCAACAAATACACTGTAAATGTATTTTCTCTTCCTTATGATTTTTTTTTTTTTTTTTTTTTTGAGACAGAGTCTCACTTTGTTGCCCAGGCTAGAGTGAGTGCCGTGGCGTCAGCCTGGCTCACAGCAACCTCAATCTCCTGGGCTCAACCAATCCTACTGTCAGTCTCCTGAGTAGCTGGGACTGCAGGCATGCGCCACAATGCTGGGCTAATTTTTTGTATATATATTTTTAGTTGGTCAATTAATTTATTTCTATTTTTGGTAGAGACGGGGTCTCGCTCAGGCTGGTTTCGAACTCCTGACCTTGAGCAATCCGCCCGCCTCGGCCTCCCAAAGTGCTAGGATTACAGGCGTGAGCCACCGCGCCCGGCCCCTTATGATTTTTTAATAACATTTTCTTTGTCTTTTCTTTTTTTTGAGACAGAGTCTCACTTTGTTGCCCAGGCTAGAGTGAGTGCCGTGGCATCAGCCTAGCTCACAGCAACCTCAATCTCCTGGGCTCAACCAATCCTACTGTCAGTCTCCTGAGTAGCTGGGACTGCAGGCATGCGCCACAATGCTGGGCTAATTTTTTTTATATATATTTTTAGTTGGTCAATTAATTTCTTTCTATTTTTGGTAGAGACTGGGTCTAGCTCAGGCTGGTTTCGAACTCCTAACCTCAAGCAATCCGCCCACCTCGGCCTCCCAGAGTGCTAGGATTATAGGCGTGAGCCACCACGCCCGGCCATTCTTTGTCTTTTCTCTAGCTTATTTTATTATAAGTTCACAATATATAATACATAAAACAAAATATACAAAATATATGTTGATCGACTATTTATGTTATCAGTAGGGCTTCTGGTCAACAGTAGCTAAATTTTGGGGGAGTCAAAAATTATGCAAAGATTTTTGACTGCTCAGGGTGGGCCCCCTATTCCCTGCATTGTTTAAGGGTCAGCCGTAACTATATCTACAATGACTCTATTGCCAAATAAGGTTACATCCTGAGATACTAAGGGTTAAGACTTCAATATATGAATTTGGGAGGGATATAATTTAACCCATAACACCATCCATTCCTCTTATGTGATTTTGAGATCAGCAAAGAACTTTCTGGTTTCTAGTATGGTTCCCCAGGTACCCAGGGTTTAGCAGTGAGGGTCCTGGAAAACACACATGAGTCTTTTGGTCACTAGAGATGAATGTCCCCATTGTGAACTGGCATTCCGTTCACTCATGGCTCTTCAACGAGTCTGGCTAGCATGAATCAGTCCCCAAGAGCCTGGTCACTCCGGTCACATTGGTAACATTGGGTTTGGGGACTATGAAACTGTCATGACTCTCCCATTAGCCCATGTTTTCAGAATTGGTTGGCTCCTCCCTGCGATAGTGTTCGGTCCTCTCTGTAACTGCAAGAGGGAGCTTCATCTTAGAAGATTCGGAAAACAGTTAGAGAACCCAGGGATGTGCCTAGGTGCACATCTCTCACCAGCTCTGCTTCCCAGCAAGCTTCACATCAAATCTACTTCTAAGTGTCCAGGCCTGATGTCCTAAAAAGGGAAGGCTGTCATAGTGTGTACCCTCATTAAAAAGGAGATAGAGGTACCTGAGTTGCAGGCAGGGATTCCCAGATATTTTGCAACAGATGATCCATTCTTTCACTGGCCCCATCTTCCCTGAAAGATGGGCATTTTGAAAAGGGATAAACTTCTGAGAGCTAGTTCTATAGACCAGGGTAAATAAAGCTATCGTCCCAGGAAAATACCCACCTACCTTTAGTATGCTCTCTGGTGAGATAGCCCCCAATACCTTATATCTGGGAGCCTCTATCAAGGAGAAGGAAGGTCTTGATTTCAACTTAAACAAATATTCTTGCTTTCCATAAGCTTTTCTGGCTCCACCAAGTATCTCTCAAGTCCTGTGTCCCTGGAAAATTTGTTTGTTTGTTTGTTTTTTGACTTTTTTTGTTTGTTTGAGACAAACAAGACTTTTTTTGTTTGTTTGTTTGTGACAGAGTCTCTGTTGCCCAGGCTAGAGTGCTGTGGCATCAGTCTAGCTCACAGCAACCTCAAACTCCTGGGCTCAAGCAATCCTCCTGCCTCAGCCTCCCAAGTAGCTGGGCTACAGGCATGCGCCGCCATGTCCAACTAATTTTTTCTATATATTTTTAGTTGGCCAATTAATTTCTTTCTATTTTTTAGTAGAGACAGGGTCTCGCTCTTGCTCAGGCTGGTTTCGAACTCCTGACCTTGAGCGATCCACCTACTTCGGCCTCCCAGAGTGCTAGGATTACAGGTGTGAGCCACCGTGCCCGCCCAAGGGCTAAGACTTAAGTGGAGGTTCTTAGAAGCCTCAGACATTGTCATAGACTAGGAAAGATGTTTTCTTTGATTAGCTTAAACATTTTATCAATCAATCTCCTTGTTCTATCCATAGAAAAGGATACAATCAAATGGCCTTAAAACGGCTCAGTTATGGTTAAATATGTAATTTAATATGTAATATGAACTTTGTGGGCAATTAGCACTGACTCTAAGCTCAAGAACTCTAGATCTAGGCCCGGTATCTTTCAAACTCAAACCACAACAGCCAGAGCTTGAATGCAATGAGGTTTCCAAAACCTAGTAGTTGGTCCAGAATTTTAATCCAACAACACTGCTTAACCAGCTCTGGATTAACTGACTCTCTATCCCTCTCTAACAGCCACTGATGCCTGTGGGCACTGAATGCTGGGAGGCTACTCTTTGACATAGTATTTTTCAAATTTCAGGTCTTCACACCAATTTACTAGGGTGAAATAAATCTCTTGGATCATGACTAGTGTTTTTTAAATGAAACAGTACAAATCAGTTGAGTTCTATGTTTAGAGTTAGTTAATTGTTCTAAAATTTGTTTATGCCTATTACATAAAATAATCAAATATGAATGCAAAGAAATCCACCATGAAACAAATGAAAAAACCAAATTATGAAAATGAAGTGGAAATGAAGTTGTTTTAAAAAGACTCTACAAAGGCCAGTTACTAAAAAATAAACCAAAAGTCTTGTCAAATTAGTTATGAACTAGAAAACTGTAAAAGAGTAGGAAAAGAAATTGTAAAGCCTAAAAGAACTCCACACCGGATATTGTTTTACAAGTGTCTTTAAGCTTTCTCTTCTATAGAAAAACAAAAGCTGGAAATCATAAACCCAATGTAATCAAGGGTGGAGTTAGTACAAGAAAAACAATGAGTAATTTCAGTCAGAGAACTCACACACTGAACCCGACATGTAATGATTGAGGAATGAATGTACAATCATATGCTTTCAGTAAAAATGAAAAGTTTAAGGTATATATGTTTTATAAATCTCAATTATACCTGATAAAAGAACTAATATATTTTTAAAATTTGGCTAGTTCTTAGAATATGATAGAATAGGATTTAAATATTATAAACTTATTGCATTTATCCATGATGGAAGCAATCACAAAGCATACCGTTAATGTATCAGAAAATGTCATCAGACAGCTAGTATATAAGACAACATGACTAGGGCAAAGTACAGAAAAAAAAAGTCACACCAGGAAGAACTACTACTTATAGCTACAGATTTGTAATCAGCCCAGATAACTGGTTATCTATGAGGCTTCTCCTGGTTCCTCCTCTTTACTGTCCTTCTACCTCATTACAATTGGCTACTCCTTCATGTCCTACTAGCTGTTGTAAGTCTGTCTACTTGGGTCTACCAAAGCCCCTGAGACAATTCTCTGTATGTCACTCTTCATACTGTGTTTCCCTGAAAATAAGACCTAGTGATGGGCGTGGCTACGCACCATATCTGCACAATGCATGCATGCATTTCGTCACAGAGCGGTAAAAAAGACGAGCAGCCCTTCTCATCTGCCCCATCGTGACAGCTACTATCCCAGAGGTGACCGGAAAGGTGCGGGCAGCCCCACCAACAAGGTCACCTCCCCCTGTCAGGTCCCAGCCATCCTGTGTGTGCTGCAAGCTGAGGCTTTGAGGGGAAAATAACACATCCCCTGAAAATGAGCCCTAGGGTGTCTTCCTGAGGAAAAATAAATATGAGACCTTGTCTTATTTTCAGGGAAACACGGTATATATGTCCACCAACTACACACTAAGCTTCTTTCTTTTCTTTTCTTTTCTTTTTCTTTTTTTTTTTTTTTGAGACAGACCCTCACTCTATCCCCCAGAATGGAGTAATCACAGTTCACTGCAGCCTCAAACTCCTCAGCTCAAGGGATCCTCCTGTCTTAGTCTCCAGAGTAGCTAGGACTACAAGCACGTACCACCACACCCAGCTAATTTTTTATTTTTTAGAGATGAGTTCTTGCTATGTAGCCCAGCCTGCACCCTAAGCTTCTGAAAGATAAGAATCAGGTCTTGCTTGGGTATCCCCAGCATCAGCATGGGGCCTGGCACTTGGTAGGTACTTAGTAAATTTTTGTTCAAGGCATTGTCCTTATTTTCAATAGAAATGGAAGGTAATGCTGGTTGAAGTGAATTATAAATTTGGAAATTGTTTTTATTTAATAAAAAGTGTTACAGTAATATAAGCAGAAGAGCACATCTTTAAGGCTAAAAAAAAAAAAATCACTGGAAAGGTGAAGTTCACTAGACTAGTTGAAATAACCATTAAGACCATTTGACTCACTTTGTCTTGACTCTAGATTTAGTATGACCCTTCTGTGATTTTAGTTCCCTGCCTGGGATCTTGACACTTCAAAGAAAGTCCCTTATATAGGTAAGACAAATATTCTGGTCACTGAAATAGAAATATCTCTACATTTCAAACTGATGAATTGATTTTCTAGCATAAATCAGTAAAGATTGGCTGGTCTAGAAAAAAAATGAAGGAGAACTATTGTTTTGTTCTCAATATTCTTTCCTCCAAGGCCATCTCCTCTCTAAATATGCAAAACATGATCATTTTTATCAGCTAAATTGTATATAAAATGAAAGTACTTTTCCTGAGTAACTAAAAAATACATCCTGACTGTAGAAAAGTTGGAAAGGACTAAAAAGTATAAAACAGGAGAGAAAAATATCACTCATAATCCTACACTGAGGCATCAACGATGACATTTGGCATTTTACTTCCAGTTTTATTTTTTGCAGTTTTCTTTACATAGCGGAGATTACTATACATGATGCACTTTTATGGTCCTAAATGAACAAAGTGACTTCATATCTTAAGTTTTCTTATATTCATCCTGCCCCATGAAGAGTTTTCTTTTCCATAACTTAAAATTTTCTAGAAAAAAAATCTCTGTCTAGGTATCAGTGAGGTTTCACACATCATTCAATCAAACATTTATTGAATATGAGCTGGGTGCAATGCACCACGTTGCTGCCCTCGAGTATACATAGAAATAAAAGTGACTATGTTTATTAAAGAACTTAAAAAGTAGGTGGAGGAAACAAGCTATCTATACACAAAAAAAGGTACTATCACACAAAAAAAGGTACTATCACTGGTCGCAATAGCTCACACCTGTAATCCACTTTGGGAGGCTAACTAGGGAGGACCCTTGAGCTCAGGAGTTCAAGGTTGCAGTGAACTATGATGAACCATTGCACTCTAGCCCCAGCAACAGAGCAAGACCCTGTGGCTCAGGAAAAAAAAAAGAGAGAGAAATGTACAGTCAAGCAACCTCCCATTTAATGAGTTAGGAAGCAAAGTAAATGGGAAAGGGGGCTCTTGGCTCTGACAGATAAGACTAGATAAACTCTACTTGAATCATTTCATTTAATTAATCCCCATTTTACAGCACTGGAAACCATGGCATAGGGAGGTTAAATAACTTGCCTTAAAGCATAGATAGAGCTAGTTGGTGGAAAAGCTGAGATTCAACAGTGAAAGTCTGTCTCCAGAGTTGGGCTCCTAACGTGCCTTCTAGGAGATGTCCATTGGCCTAGGCGAGACTGGATAGTCAAGAGAAACCCGGAAACATCCGACCAAGCATTAGTAGATACAAAAATATGAGTCTCTAACCTGGGATTGGGAGTAGAGAACAGGTGAGAAGGGAGAACAAATACAACAAACGTCACTATTTAATGGTAAGTATCCCATGGGATCACCAGGGCCAGGACAGGACAGGGCAGGAATGGAAGACAAAGTATCTGGAGCATTCTTTAAGATGCTCAGCACTTCGGCCACATTGGAAGGCTGGGCTTCTCTGGGGCACCTCCCTTTCAGGTAGCCCTAACCCTTCACCCCACCACTCAGCAGAGGTTTGGGAGAGGGGATCCTGAACCAGCGCCGCTCATCCTTCGTGGCGCTCAGCCCTGCTGGGTGCACGCTCGCATTCACGCACACCTCCAGCGTGGGGGAGGAGTGAGCCTCCTACCCTTCCTCTGCACGTTTACTACATGGGGCCCACACAATTGAAGGCCCCCTCCCCTTTTCAGGCCCGGGAGCCCCTTGGAGGGGTTGGTTGGGGAATCTTATGAGTCGCACTGAACCCCTGACCATCCAGCTCCCAGATGCACTCTTGGCCTTTGCTTCCTACACCCCCGCGACTCGAGCCCACCGCCGCCGGCGGGGGCACTGGGGAGCGCCGCGGGCTGCAGCTCGCTTCCCGGCCGCCCGCCGCCCCGCCCGGCCGCCCCGCGGGACGGAGCCAAAGTTCACGCCGCCCGCTCTCGTTAGCAACTGCTGGCCGCCCCAGCCTGCGACTTCCAGGGCCCCGGCGCCGGCCCGGGCGGCGCGCACCGTGCAGGGCAGCACTGTAGGCCGGCGCGGGCCGGTCTCGGCGCCCCGCGGCCCTCCTCCTCCTCCTCTCTTCCTCTTCGTCCTCCTCTTCCCTATCCACCCCCCGCCCGCCCGCCCAGCACCTCGGCCGTCCGTCCCCCTCTCTAGCCTCCCCTCTCCCGCCCTCTCATCCTCCACCCCCTCACCGCTTCTCTCCCCCACCTCA